GCAGCATCCTCGGCGTGCGTTTTCTCACAAATGATGGAGAAGAATTTAAGCCTGAAAACCAGCTGTCCAATAGCTTATCTGTGTTGGGTAAGCAGTGTCCAAAAACACTGAAGTCATAGGCGTAGCCCGAGCCAAGAGTGTGCAGTCACGACCAATCTCTGGCAACTTCTCTGCTTCCCAGACACTTGACGGCAGTGGGTCCATTCACTCGGATTATTGCGTCTTCTGCGACTGGTAGAGTTGAGAGCTCTTCAAAGCCTGGAGCTCAGGTCCCCACGGAGGTACAGAGCCACCGAGGCCCTCTGGCCCATGGCCGTAGCCCCCAGCCGCTGGCACCCCTGTTCTTCCTGACAATCATGGCAGTTACAGCGAGGAATCAGAATTTGTCTTTTGAAGTTCTCTTCCTGCTTTCTTCCCAGCACAGCACAGGGCTCCTCCCCGAGTCATTGTTCGTGCCAAGACTCTACTGGAGATAAAGTGTCATTGAAAACTGATGCCCAGCCAGCTCTGGGTGGCTTTGCCTCTTAGCGTGTGAATGGTCGTCATCCTCCGTCATTTCTTCCAGCCAGAGGACTCCTGGTGGTTTTCACGTGCATGTTTTCAGAAGAGCGGGTGGCCGGTTCCTGCGTCTCTGTCTCGATAACAGAGATGTTATCTCTGCGTCCCCGGCTTGTATATCAAGCCTCGGCTCACTGCCTTTTGCGTGCTGGTCATCGCAAAGCACTTAGCCAAGGAGAGCGCCCAGCGAGTTAGGAGGCTGTAGCCCACGGAGCTGTGGGATTACCTGGTTGGGGCCTGTCATATGCCCAGAACCCTCACTCAGAGTGAGACGCCCCCCACGCCTCTCAGGAGCCACGCTGTGTCCTACAAGGTGCGTGGCCCACACTCTCAGCCTGTCTCTTCATCTTTGTGACAAGGATCACAACAGCCTTTCGTGTAGATTAAATGAGAGGATTTGTGCAAAACCCTTAGCACCTCGCTGAGCCGCAGGCATCATCATCACCGGATGGGTTTTGGTGGCACTTTGACACATTGTATGACCGAGGCTGATGTTGGGGACCAGGCAGCCCCCTCCCAGCTGCTTCCTTTTGCAGGACTGGCTCTGGCAAGCCTAGATCTTCTCCAGAAATCTGCAGTCTCCAGACAGGCAGCCCCCCTCGTGGCGAAAATCTCAGCCCAAACAGCCTTACTCTGGCTATAAATAAAAATTCCTGCTACGGAGAGAAAGCAGCAGCTCTGTCGGAGGCAGAGCCAGGCAGCAGCCAGGTCCTAGAATAAACTCCAGGCAGGGGTGAAGTGGCGTTTCTGCTTAGTGGCCAGCCTGCCTTTCTCCCTGCCCACGTGAAAAATGTGCTCTCAGAGGGCCTGGGGAGAACTCTCTGGGGGATCCGTGGAGGCCTGACTTACGGGAAATGGGGTAAGGATGCGCCCCCAGGCGCCCTCCCCTCCACTGTTGCCAAAGGGGCGCTGAGGGCACTTCCCCACTGGAAGGTATTCTTCAAGCTTGGCTCTCGGCCCAGCAGGCCTGCATAGCTGGAATGCCGCGCTGCCCCCAGGCTGGGGGTGCTGCCGCTGCTGGAGGGGCGGGGCGGGGCGGGCAGGCAGCCCAGGAGCCTTTGTCCTGGCGAGGCAGCCCCCCCTCCTTGCTTTCTCCCCGCAGTCGCCCCTCCTCCTAGGTGGTGCACATCCTGGTGGGGGGGCGGGGGCTTCGAGGCTCCTGCCCTGGGGGGCAGCTTGTCTGTCACCCTGCGCACTCCTGCGAGTCAGCCGGTGTTGTGGGCACTTAGATGACAACTTTAGTATCAGTCCCCACTGAATACCTCAGCTCGTGGCCTCCTGGTATTTCGGAGGACGAGGGAGGAGAGCTCCAGAGCAGCACTGACTGCACTCAGGACCTCCAGAGCCCCCGTCTTCTAAGGTTTTCGCTTTGCGTGTTTTTATTCAAGCGTAATTAGCATACCGTGCCATGCATTTCAATCACCATTTTATTTTCAATTTTTTTAATGTTTGAGAGACAGAGAGTGAGCAGAGAGAGGCAGAGTGAGCAGAGAGAGACAGAGTGTGAGCAGGGGAGGGGCAGAGAGAGAGGGAGACACAGAATCCAAAGCAGGCTCCAGGCCCTGAGCTGTCAGCACAGAGCCCGATGCGGGACTTGAACCCATGAACCATGAGATCATGAAGTGAGCCAAAATCAGACGCTTAACTGACTGAGCCCCCTAGGTGCGCCCCACAATCGCCGTTTTAAAGAGAAGGAAACTGAGGCTCAAGACCAGGTTATTTCCCCCAAGATCACACGGGTGGAAAGAGAGAGCCCGGGCCCGGAGCCCAGTCTGTGTGACTTGAGAGTGTGCGCTCAGCAGTCACCCTGGGGCTATCTCCCAGAAAAGGCACCTGTGGTGCGTGTGAGTCCACCACCCTGGACTGGCCAGATCGGAGCTGGTCAGGAAGGTACCGTCAGACCTGATTCATCTTGTGAGCGCACAGAAACCACTTGTGAGCGTCTGTCAGGTGCTCCGTTGCTACAGGGCCTGCCCAAGTGCCGAGTGACTTTACACTTCGGGGGTGGTCCGTGAGGACAGTGCCCGGACTCCCAGAAGAGCTGGCCTTTGTCTTCGTGTTGTCAAGCTGCTGTCACGCAGCTCCGCAGACTGGCACTTATACACAGCACAGCTCTGGAGGCTGTGGTGCCAGCCCAGGCTACCACCACGGCCGGTGCCCTCCCTCCAGTCAGACCTCAGGTTGTACCCCCACGTGGTGGAAGGGCAAGGCGCCTCTCTGATCCTCTTTCCTGGCCCTACTCACATTTAGGAGGGGAGCTCTTAAGGGGCGCCTGGGTGGCTTAGTCGGTTAAGCATCCGACTTTCGCTTGGGTCATGATCTCGCGGTTCGTGGGTTCGAGCCCCGCATTGGGCTCTGTGCTGACTGCCAGCTCAGAGCCTGGAGCCTGTTTCAGTCTGTGACTCCCTCTCTCTCTGACCCTCCCTTGCTCACGCTGTCTCTCTCTCTCTCTCCTAGAAATAAATAAAAAATATTAAAAGAAAAAAAAAAAAAGGAGGGGAGCTCTTAAGCGCCTCCCAAAGGTCCCTACCTCCTAATATCTAGACTAGTTGGATTCACACGCAAGGGAGAGACATCCCTCAGCAGGTCTCATGGCAGCCCCTACCCTCGGGGACACGCAGGCAACAGAGCTGAGCCGGGCTCCTGCGTGAGACCAAAGCCACTGCCCGAAAGGGCCATGTAGGCTTCTCTCGGGGTGGACTCCCGGGACAAGGTGTACCTACTGTCCATCGGCCAGTGCATTCCACACGCTGTCTTCTCTTTGGCCTTTCCCGGCCAGTGAGCGAGCCTCACCATGGGGAGACATTCACCAGGGTTGAATGGAGAGTCCCCAAAACCAAACACTTGACCCCACTACCATCCCCAGCAAGGTCCAGAGTGAGTCCCCTGGGCCTGGGTGGTTTCCATGAAAGGTCAGTGACATGTGGCACCTGGCTGGTGCGGGCACTGGGGGTGTTCAGGCTCCGCAGCCCCCAGCACGAGAGCCACTGGGCTGGACATCCCGTCACCCAGCTTATTTAGGAAGGTTGTGAGAACGGAGCTTCCCAGGAATCTAAGCCCTCAGTGCCTGTCCCTCAGAACGTGGACGGCACTTCCCACGAATTCACGTGACCACGTACAGGGTTGGTCTTGAGTTCGGGAGTTAGATGGGGAAATAAAGTGTGTGCGAGTGAGTAGGTACCTGGGGTGGGTGTCCTGAGTCTGATGTAAACCCACAGAGCGAGAGGGAGCTTTAGACTAATCAGGCCAGCCAGGAAGGAGCCGGGGCCGGCGGGCAGCGGGGAGGGTGGAAGGGGAGCGCGCCTGTCCGTGGAGTTGAGGCAGCTCTAGGTCCAGCGTAAAGTGTAGCTTTGCAAAACCACCAAAGGATGTGAGTGGCTTTAACCTCCTGCTTAGAATTGCGTTTCTTCCTCCTTTCCCTTGGCTGTGGCTTCTGAAAATCCGGTGGCAAAACGCAGAGAACATTTGAGGGAGCGGTGTGCACAGGTGTGTGGAGTTTGGCTCTTGGCAAACTCCGGCCTCTCTGGCGGGCAGGTGAGCCTGGCCAGCACTTTGGACCCTTCCACAGGCTCTTCTCCTGCTTCCCTGTGACAGCATCAGCTTGTCAGGCCCTTTGTGGGACGTGGTGACATCTCAGGCTCTCAGCCTGGTAGCCCCTGGTCCCAGAGCTCCTGTGTCCATCCCACAGCAGAGCCCAGGCCTGGGCAGTGCTCGTCGGCCCTCCGAAGCTGCGGGCGCTCACTGTCCCCCCTCAGCCTGGCCTCAGACTTCTCTCTCTCCGTGAGAGTTTGGGAGAGTGTAGCCTTGCGGCTCTGTGGTGGCATCAGAGGCATTGCAAGATCCCTCCATTGGTTACAAAAAAGAAAAGATTGGGTAGGAAGGGAAATGCCCTCATAGACATTTTCAGTTTTGATTGCACGATCCTTCCACCCATTTGTAAGGCTTCCCTTCCTAAAGGATTTGAAGTGGGTTACAGTATTCGAAAGGCTGCAGCGTTTGACTTCTAAGGGATAAAACCAAGAGGTTCGTCCAGAAGACTCAGAATGAGTAAATATGACCCGTTGTCTGAGTGCACACGCTGAACGTAGCCACCGGGTTCCAGAAGGACGGGGGCCTGGATTGAGCTTGTGGGCTGACGTCTATGACAGCAGAGAGTGGGATCGCCTGGACAGCGCACGGGGCTTGCGCGCATTTGGGGGCACCTGCGCCCCTCTGTTCAGTCACCGCGGATGGCGCTGGCCGGTCCTCAGGCCCTGCTCGAGGGAGGGCGCGCCTGGGTCGGGGGCCCTCGGGGGTCGGCTCGGCCTGCCTGGCGGTCCTCGCTAGAGTCCTGCGAACAGCCCTCCCCTCCGCGGCTGACCTGTCTAACGACTTTCTCTCTTGTCTGTTTTCTTCCTCCCGCCTGCCCATCCGTGTGTCTGTCTGCCGCTCTGATTCTCTAGCACAAGTCTGTGTTTAGGTCCTACTCCCAGGACTCCGTGCCTCACAGCCGAGCTTCCGTTCAGCCTTTCCTCCCGCCTGCCTCCTCCTCCTCTCCACACTTCCCGCCCGTCCACCCGTCTCCGAGCTCTGACTTGGCGGTGCCCCCCGGGGGCCGTATGCCTGCCAGCACCGCGGACGGGCCCCTCTCGCCTGCCCAGGAGAGCAGCTTTCCCGGGAGCGCTGTCTGCCTTCCTTCCGAATCCTCTCTCACTGACTCGCCCCCGACGCCTTCGGTGAGAACTCCGCGCGCGCACCCCTCCGCGTGGGGCTGCACGTTTTGAGCACAGCCGTGTCGCTGTCCGTGAGTCTGCTGCCGCCTCCCCCCGGTGGCAGCCAGGCTTGCCGCCGGCCCGTGCCCTGTGGCGGCGCGGCTAGCGTGAGGTCCGCAGAAGGTCGCGGCGTGAAACGGGGGCCCGTTTCAGAGCAGAAATGGAACCTTCCGTACAAAGTTCCCATGAGACGGGGAGTCCGAGTTTCCAGAAACGGATTAGTGACCATGTAGAGACAGTCGTAGCACGAGACAGAAAATGCGCCTCCTCTGCTGTTTGGTTGTGCGTTTTTAGAGGAGGACACACCCCGTGCAGAAAGGTGCAGGCGGAGGACTCTGAGGCTGCAGCTGGCGCCGAGGAGGCACGACCTGCCTGCCGGTGCTGCTGAATTCACCGAGCACCTCGTCGGGGGGCGGGCGGACCGGGGCCGGCCGGGGGGCGCCGCAGCGAGCTGGCCTGTCTTGGTGCATTGCCTCGCTCCCTCCGGGACCCCGCGATCCCCGCTCCAGCAGCGTGGGGGGGCACCCTTCCTGCTGGGGCAGGTTGAACGGCCCTTGACCTCTCTGGAGAAGAGCCAGCGGGAAACTTGCATCCCCTGTGACATGGAGGCAAGAGGTAGCAAAAGTGGCGTCATTCTCTGGCCTGGGAGAAGCTCCCCAAGGAGGGCCGAGCACCCGCCGCCCCCCTCTCTTCCTCCCCATGAAAGGAGGGGGTCCCAGTCAGGGCCAGCCCAGCAGGCTGCTCTCTTTCTCTCTCAGAGCCGTGACGGCTGGCTGGGGGGCCCGTCACATGTGCGTTTCCTCTCATCCTGTCTCCCCCAGAGTGACCGCGCCGGCGAGGAGGCTGGGGAGGGTGAATACGTCAGTCTGTATTCCTCTGGCCAGAGCAGCGAGGAGCTGCCGCCCTCCCGAGGAGTAAGTAGCCTCGGGGCTGCCTCGTGTGTGCGGCCCGGCCTGGCAGGGTCCGGCCCTGCTTCTGCCTGGCCGAGCCCCCGGCCCCTCGCCGGCTGGGCCCTGTGGCCTGGCCCAGAGCCACCCTGGCTTGGTGGGGCGAGGCCGCGGCTCCCCGCGGAGACCCTCCCTTCGTGCTCAGGGCGCATGTGGCGCTCTCCGGGCCTGGCCGGATGGGTCTTCTGGAAACGCCAGGAGGCGGCGTAGTGTTGGCCTGGCCATGCGTTGGTTGCTCTCTGAGATTTCTCTCTGTCCTGTCTCCTGGTGTCAAGGCCCGTCTTCCGTCCCCTCGCCAGAGGGAGGGACTCTTCTCTTCCACGCCACCCAGCCTCCCGGGCCTTGGCCCCCTCCTCCTCCCACGGCCCCCACAGGAACAGTCTCCGAGGAAGCTGGGTGGGCCTGGCCGGGGCCCCCCGCCGCGTTCAAGGGAGTGGGGAGCGCTGCCTGCTGTGGCCGCCCTCAGCCGGCTTCTGCCCCTGCTGGACACAGCTGTTCTGTTGAGCGCTCAGCTGTCCGAGTTTTGCTGCAGCAAGACAAGAGCAAGGTCAAAAGCTTGAGAAAGGAGGAGTCCCTTGAGAGGAGGTGCCGTGAGGACTTGAGCCCTCCCTGGTGATCTGCTCACAGGGCCCAGCCCATGACCAGTGTGGTCGCCCCTGGTGAGACAGCCCCCCCACCCCGCTAGGGGCACCCGCACAGGACCTTCCACGTCCACACGAGGCGAGCCCCACGGTAGTTAGTAGCGAGTCACAGGACACTGTGGACTTCAACCCTGTCTGTGGAAGCTGTTTTTCCGCTGCTGTTCCCCCTCATCTGTCCCCCCCAGTGATGGTGACCTACACCCCCGCATCGTCCAGTTTAGCCTCCATGCAGTGGATCCCACCCCAGACTGGCCTTCCGTGGCTCTCCCCTCCGACCCTGACCACGTCTGGTGCCGATCTTACCTCGAAGCCCCCCCCCACGAGGCCGATCCGTGTGTTCATGCTGCTCTGCTTTCTGTGGCAGCCGCGGTGGCAGAGCAGGGGCGCCAGACAGCTGTGTGGTCACCAAGCGGGGTGGGCATGGATGCCTATGCCCAGGCTGCTGGAGGAGACAGGCTGGCGCTCGTGCCCTCGAGCAGCCAGACCCCTTAGAGCCAGAGCTGGGAGGTGGCTGTGCGTGGCGGTCCTGAGGACTTGACTGGGAAGCAGCAAGGGCTTGCGGCACCCTGGCAGGCACGGTGGTCAAGGTCACAGGTTTTGGAGGCAGACAACACTGAGGTTGAGTCCAGGCTGCGGCCTTAGAGCTTGTGTGGTCTTGGGCAGAGCCTGCAGCCTGCGTCTGTGTGTGCAAGTAGGCACGGTGGTGTCGGCTGACCGACAGGGCCTGGGAAGGGTCAGTGAGAGGGGGCGCAGGAAGTCCTTGGCGCATCGCCTCGCTGAGCTCCACTGAGTAGTGGCCACCGCAGGTCCTTCCTTCCAGGTGGTGCGTGGGACGGCAGCTGTCGGTCATAAGTAGGGGCCCCTTTCACTGTCCCCAAAGGCAAGATGCTGGTCCCCGGCGGGCCTTGCACTTCTTGCGTGAGTAACCGCATTCACGGCTCCCTTGTTCACATCTCGCGTTGCTCCGGAGGAACTCGCGCTCAGAAGCTGCGTGCAGGCAGGAGCGCTGGGAAGCAGATGCGCCCAGCGCGAGGCCCCTGTCACAATCCCAGCGCTGACTTCTCTTTTCAGGAATCACCAGCTACGAAAGACGGACACCCTAGAGACTCTTCATCGGGCAGTGGTGCATCCGGGAAGGAGAGCAGAGACGGCGAAAGGTAGGAAGTGACCAGTCGGAGCGGGGGCCCTGAGAGCAGCGAGCCCCCTCAGGGAGAGCAGCCCCCCATCTGCAGTGCACAGGCCTCCAGGGCTTTCTCTTTGCATCCTTTCCCTTTTTCTGACTCTCAAAATTATACATGTTCAAGGTAGAAAACATGGCAAACGCAGAAACATGCAAATAAACAAAAATCCTTGATCATTCCACCCTTAGAGGCTCCGTTCCGGCAAGCGGTCTGCCGTTATTTCCTGATGATGTGATCATATACACTGTGCAAGTCACCCAGGACAGCATTTCACTATTTTCTTTCTCAAATCCCAGGCCAACCTTCCTTGGCCTCTTCCAAGTTCAAGTGCAATAAGGGAGTGTAAAAGACACTCTCCCCTTGCCAGACTTTTTATTGTGAGTGTCTAGATGTGTGTATATTGTGTCGTTAAGCCATTTGAAAGTAAGTTACAGATGTGACGTTCAGGCCCTAAGTACTTCACTGTGCCTCCCGAAATATCTTAGAAGCCTCCCTGATTACAATACCATTGTCACGCCTAAGGAGAGTAATAATGAATTGCCTTATATCATCTGATACGCAAACCATCTTCCACTTGCCCAGTTGTCCCTCAAGCCACTGGTGTAGCTTATTTTTTTGGATCCAAGATCAGTCAGGACTCATTGCATTTAGTTGTGTGTCTTTATTTTTACTTTTTTTAATGTTTGTTTATTTTTGAGAGACAGGGCATAAGTCGGGGAGGGGTAGAGAAGCAGACACAGAATCGGAAGCAGGCTCCAGGCTCTGAGCTGTCAGTACAGAGCCTGACGCAGGGCTCGAACACATGAACCGCAAGATCATGACCTGAGCCAAAGTCGGTCACTTAACTGACTGAGCCACCCGGGTGCCCCACATGTCATTAACCTTTTATAACGCTTTTCAGCATTTGCCTGAGTCAGACCTGACCTGGTGAAGAAACATGTAGTCGATTTCCGCACGTGTGGCCGTGCAGGTCCACTCTGGCTCTGCCATCGGGCACTGCATGGGGGCACTGGCTTCTCAGTGAAATGCTCCACAAGTTCAAGCCTTTCCTCCTTCTGCAGGCCAAGGTTCAACTACCTCTGGGGTCATTGGCACCGAGCCAAGCAGTACCCGCTTGCCAGGCCTGAGCAGAAATGGTTGAAGAGGTGCTAAAATAGCAAGAGCCAGAGGAAAAGTTAGCATTTGATAGGGGCCCACGGAGGAGAGCTGCCCGCCCACCCGCTCGGGGCCACCCCTCAGTGCTGCCCCTGCGGACGGGGTCTGCCTGATCCGTCTGCCCTGGCTAAGACACCCCCCCACCCCCGCCCGAGTATTATGCAAGGGATGGTGGATTTTCTAGTTTAACACCTAGTAGCAGACAGTGTCCATGCCAAGCCCCGGGGACTCGCGGGCTCGGCCTCCCGCTGCACTGAACCCAAGAGCGCCATTTTTCAGAGTTGCAGATGGGCCGTGTCAGAACAAGACGAGCACACTGAGCGCTCAGAAGCAATCTCAGAAATGTTCTCCTCCTTCCACAAAGGCCAGACTGCAGACTGGACCCTGAAGGGACACGAAACAGATGGTTCTTCCCACGGCTGTGTGTCATTTTGCTCTGGGCCATCCGTGTCTTACTGAAGGCCCAAATGTTTATGTCCCAGATACTTAGGGTTAAAAACGTGGCTTGTGACTGACCACAAGGCCAGCCAGTGCCTCACAGGATCCATGGTGGAAATTGTCAGACTCAACAGGAATACGGGGAGAAAGGCCGGGGGAAGCGTGGTGCCTACAGACCTGGCATCTGTCTGCTCCTGGAATGTCCCCCGTGCCCCCCACACCCCTCCTCTGCTGGCAGTTCTCTCCTCCCCCTTCACCAGCAAACTCCTGCTCAGAGCTTCAGCCTGTATGTGCTGCCGCGGGGGGCCTGCTGCCCTGTAGCCAGGGCTGCGTCCTTCTCGGGCCAATGCCCCAACTGCTTGCCCTAACGTCCACCTCTCCTGCCAAACCCAGCACACCGAGGACAAGGGCCAGTCTGCCCAGCTCATGCTGTCCTCAGTCCCACGGAAAGGTGGCCCTTAGAAAAAACTTGAGGAATGGCATGAACAGCCCTGCGAACTTTCTCTCCCAAGCTATTTGTCCTTCTGATGTTTCTGTCCTTGAATACCGACTGTGTAGACCGTGGCCTTGACAAGGAGTGAGTGATCCCATCACTTACTTAAATAGGCCAGTGGAACCTTCTTGATTGCCTTCTTATTTTAATTTTTATTATTTTTTTTAATATTTTTATTTCTAGGAGAGAGAGAGAGAGACAGCGTGAGCAGGGGATGGTCATAGAGAGAGGGAGACACAGACTCTGAAACAGGCTCCAGGCTCTGAGCTGGCTGTCAGCACAGAGCTTGACGCGGGGCTTGACCCACGAACCGCGAGATCATGACCTAAGCGAAAGTCGGAAGCTTAACCGACTAAGCCACCCAGGCGCCCCTTTGATTGCCTTCTTAATCCCAACCACTTACAGATGGAGCAGAGAGCAGGAAGTGTCCCAAGGTCACAGAGCTCATGAGTAATGGCGCTGGAAATCCAGTCCGTGCCCCCACTCAGGCCCCCTGTGCCGGGCCCCCTGCGCCGGGTGTGGGGAAGGGGTTGGGCTTCCACGTTGGAGCCACAGTCCCGGGGGGTGGGGGGCCTGTTCAGGGGTAGTCCTAGCTCCTAGTCCTCCTGCACAGGGCAGCACCGCCTCAGGCCCCTGGTGTCCTGGACGCCGCAGACTGTTGGGCGCTTGCAACACAAACCACTTCTCCCTCCCTCCAGGGCCCCAAGGTCGCCAGATGCTTCGGAGCTGGCCCGGTCAGAGGAGGAAGTTGAAGAGCTGTCCCTCATCGACCACAATGAAATTATGGCAAGGCTGACGCTCAAGCAGGAGGTGAGGGCAGGCCTTACTTGTGCGTCTGGTCCACACGGAGAGAGAGGGCTTTGAGGAGAAGGACTCAGGCGAGGCACCGACACCCCACACTTGGGAGGCCCTGTGCACGGTGTCTGTCCCGACCCCGGGCCTGGGCCATAGCGGGTGCTGAGGGACACTGGGCAGATGGGTGGACTCCTAGAGAAAATGTACTGTGTCCCCGTCTCAGGTACTTAAAGAGAGTAATCTTGGGCAGGTCATGTGACCTCTCTAAGCCCCAGAGGACAGGACTCCAGAAGGTACTGTAAGCGTGAGTTCCACGGAGGGCGTGCAGCACAGAGCCAGAGCGTGGAGAACGCCTTCACGTTACTATTGGCAGGAGAACCCACCCTGGTGTCAGTGTGGGGGACACCGGCCGCTTGTGAGGTCCCGGGCCTGGCCCCGGCAGTCACCTCCATCCCGTGCCTTGTCAGGACAGCAATTCTGGAAGCCCAGAGGAACAGTTTCACGTACTAGCCTTGACCCAGCCCTGGGGAGGGGGCTGTTTCTGGGCTCCGGCTCTGTGGCAGCACACGCAGAGGCACAGACAAGCAGTGGATGCTCCACCCTTTGCACAGCGCGCTGCACGGGGCCAGGCTGCAGGGTGCAACAGGGAAGGCGAGGCTGGCGGGGGCCCTGGGGCAGCTGGCTTCTCTGCCAATAGAAGTGATGTTTCATCATCCTTCCCAGAAAGTCCTGAAAAATCGGGGCATGGGCGTGGCTGCCCTCCACTTAGCTGGAAATGCGTGAAGCTCTCAGGACCCGAGTCCAAGCGTGAAAACACCGACGCGCCTAGAGAGGCAGGCGTGCCTCTGAGACTGTGGGCCGGGGACCCGTGGGGGCTGGCGGGGTGGGTGCCCTTCAGGATCAGGGGCAGGGGCAGGGGCTCTCTGGCTCACCTGCTGCCAGCTCTCTGGCTCCTGGCAGGTTTATGGGCTAAAGCCTCTGCCCACGTGAAAGTGAGACTTGTTCCTTAATCGGTAGATGGCAGCCGGTGTCCTATAAGCAAGGTCCGGCATAATCGAGCATCTTTGTGACACTTTCAGGCTCCTGTGAGGGCTCCCAGTGGAAGGGCTGGTGACTCCTCCCACCTGGGGAAACGTAGTGCAGGGCAGCTGGCTGCAGCTAGGGGAGCGAGCAAACCCACAGGAGCCCAGCGAACCCACGAGAAGACCCACGGGCCCTACAGCCTTCTTGGGAAAGGCTGCCGGTGGCCCGGCCTGCCTCCGCATGGGGTCCCGCCATTCCCAGCATGAGCCCTGCCCTCCCCACCTCTGGGACCTCAGGTTTGGTGAGGAGGGAACGATCCAATGGTACCATCGTCCCCTGACCCCACGGTGACCCAGAGCCATGAGCCTGATCTGCGATCTGTCCTGCACAGCGAGTGTGGAGAGCTGGGCGGGCCACGTGGGCACATCGGCCTCCATGCACGGCCACACTGCTCCTGGGTGACAGGGCGGAGGGAAGGGGGCCCCAGGGTCTCCACCGTGCAGGGACCTGGTCATCTCGTCCCTGCCTCGGACTTCCTGGTGCTTCTCTCCCGTGGCCGAATCCCGCATGCCCCGCTCTGCTGTCGTTGCAGGGTGACGATGGGCCAGACGTCCGCGGTGGGTCCGGAGATATCCTGCTGGTGCACGCTACTGAGACCGACAGGAAAGGTGCGGCAGCGCCTGGGCGGTGGCCTTCGTCACTGTCATGGCTCTCTCGGGTCCCTGTGAGGACAGCCCGCCCCCAGGGGACGGGGATGGACCCCCTGCTTCCCAGCCCTGTTGGGGCGTGCCCTCCACTGGTGAAGGGTAGCGATGACCTCAAGGGTCCCCAGTCTCGGCGGAGGGGGAGCTTCAAGTGCAGAGCTCATCACCCAGTGGGTGCTCCCCCCACGGTCCCTCAAATCACCACACATTCAACAACGTTATCGCTCTGGTGACATGTGGGTAGCTTTCTCCGCTTTTCCTGATGTTTGAACCACCGTGTTATCCCGGCCCGCGGGGACGGGCTGCAGTCGTGGGGGTCCTGGCACGCGTTCTACCAGGAGCCTCCGGCCCAGAGCAGTGACAGCACCGTCACAGGACGGGGTTCCAACCCCACGCACGGCCACCCCAGTGCGTCCTGACCCGCTGACAGGGCGGGAGAAGCGGGGCACCCGCTGGTGGGTGGACGCCGTGCTGGCTCCAGAGCTGGCCCCTCCCGGAAGGGAGGGGAAGAGGAGGGCAGAGAGGAAGGCGCCGCGACCTTGGCCTCAGGACGGGGACGGGCGTCTGGTTTTCTGTCGACGTCTTTGAAAATTAGTGAAAAGGTGACATGACAGCAGAATTAAAGTCAGTTGTGGGAAGAATTAAAATGCCCCAGTCCTGAAACCTCACACCACCAATTTTAGTTGTAAAAATGACTGTGTCCCTGTTTTTATAGCAGGTTTCTCAAAATATGTTAGGCAGAATGATTCTGGGAATTTCTAAGTTATGAAAATAGTACAGAAACGTTCACATTGCAGAGAATTTGAAAAAGAAAAAAAAAAGGACTCCAACAAATTGACCGTAGCCACGGTGTTGCCTTCTGGGCTCTCTTCGCCCCCGGTTTCTTTGGACTCGGGCAGACCCCGCTCCTGGAGACGGAGTTCAAGTCCAGGCATGTTCCCCACCCCCTCCCGGCTTCAGCTCCCCCGGCTGCTTAAAGAGCTTAGCAGTGGCCCGGGCACAGGGAGGTGCACACTCCTGCTGCGCTCACTCGGCCTGGCTGCCGCCCTCCTCGCCCGCCTGAGCCCCATCCTCAGCTGGGCCGAGAGGAGCAGTCCTCATTTTTTCCGAAAGGGCTGCAGTGGGAGCTGGCTCCCATCCTCAGCTTTGAGCGGTGGGCTGTGTTCCCCCGCAGGCACGGCCAGCTGTGCCCAGGGAAGAAGGCGCCGCTGCCGCCTGGGCTCGCCGCAGGATCTCATTCATGGAGATCTTGAGGCTGCAGGGAAACAAAGACGTTTGTCCATGAGATGGATTGCGGGGGACAGAGGCCCGGGGCCACATGGCATGTTCCTTGGCTGGGTGGCTTCCTGTGGATCAGAGGCCACATTGGAGGCACTATGCCAGGCAGCCCCCGGCTCAGGGCACGTGCGCACTGGGATCTGTTCTTCTGGAAGCAGGTGTTGGCCTGTGCAGGGCCCATCGCTGCCTCCTTGTCCCCTCCAGGTCATCAGGTTATCAGTGAGCTGGGTGAGTGCAGGGGTCCAGGAGGGAGGAGCTGGAGCACAGAGCCGCTGGGTGGTGCCGTGCGTTTCCAACCTGTGAGCCTCCCTCACACCACCACCCAGGCCCACCCCTCTGCTGGTCCTCTAGATTCTTCCACTCGGTGGGCTGGGGGCCGGATGAGAGAGAGAAGGGGGTCTGTGTCCCGGGAAGAACATGCATTTAAACCAGGTGTGTGTGTCACACTCAGCCTCACTGTGAGCAGCACACGTTTGGGGCCCAGTCGGGACTCAGACCTCAGCTCAGGCACAGAATGAACCCTGAAGTCCCTAACTCCAGCCAGACCCTTTGTGACGGGGGCGTCCTGCATTTACAACATTGCATTTTGCCTTTAGGGTCAGAGACTGTGTCACCACCGTGCGCAGAGCAGAGGCCAGCCCCTCTGAAGGGCGGGGGGGGGGGGGGGGGGGGCGCTGCTGGTCCAGGTCCCGCCCGACTGCTGGGGCCAGGCTGCCTTCCCCTTACCTGCCGCTTGTGGGTTCCCACAGGGGCCGGGCTCTGCTCCTTCAGCCTTGTCTTCGGTCCCAGAATGTGAGTCTTTGCTCCTGGACACCGCCTCCAAGGTGTTACCTGTGATTTAGCTCCAAAGTCCTGCTGAGGAGTCTGGGTTATTTTCTCTCTGCCCACGATGATGACGACCCTTTGAACCGTCAGGTCTTAGGACAGACAGGAGGCCTCAGTGTGTTGTCAGGGACACCGCCGTCTTTGTCCCCTGCCCCTGGCAGGCGCCACTCATCAGTTGTTCTTCCTCTAGATTTGGTGCTGTACTGCGAGGCCTTCTTGACCACCTACCGGACCTTCATTACCCCGGAGGAGCTGATCAAGAAGCTGCAGTACAGATATCCTTTCCCGTGGCCTCAGGCCAGTCTTCCTCTTCTTCGAGCCTCTGGCCCCGCCCAGGGGCTGAGGTGGCATCAAGGGGTCGTGGATGTGCCGCCTGATGGCGGTCGTGGGCACTAAGGAGTCAGGAAAAGGGGTTAGAATTGGCGTAACCGCAAGGGAGGGGGCACACAGGCCCCCAAAGAGATCCAGGTCCGTGGCACCTGCAGCTTCTGAGCTGAGCCGCAGGGCACTGTGGTGACAGGCACCACGTGTGCGGGGCTTACAGGAGTCAGGGCTCCAATAAACAGCCTCAGGGCCAGACCCAGCAGTGGACAGAAACGCCCCGTCCAGGCAGAATCGGCCCCTGCCCCTCAGCTGCGTCGGCCCCAACGGGCTTATCCCTTCAAGGGTCACCCTGTGCAGCAGCAGCAGAGGAAGACCCACGGCCCTGGGACCCGCTGTCATGAAATTTCTTTCAAACCTGCTCTTCTAAAAAGCCAGCCGGCCCAGGGTCCCCCGCTCCTTGGCCACCTCTCCACGTCACAGCCCACGACTGCCATCTGCTGGCCCGGCCACTTGTTACTTGGGGCAGGAAGTCCTGACTTGTCCCGGCCGGCTGCCTGCCTCTCCTGTGTGTCCTGAAGCTGCCCCCGCCGGGCTCGTGTGTCCTGCAGACCTCTCTGTCCCCACGCTCCAGCACTAGAGGACCTGGTCCCTCAAGACGGAAGTGGACAGTCCGCATCCAGTCGCTCACAGGTGTCACTCAGCAAGTGGCAGTTACACACTTGTCGGGAACTTCCTAGTGCCAGGCCGGCTCGCTCAGCCGTGAATCCGCTCGCTGTGTCACCACCATGCTGAGGATGGTGCCGCTGTGTCACACCTATTCTGTGATCAAGGAAATAGCTCAGAGAAGGTAAATGAGCCACACAGCTGGTTGGTGGGAGAGTGGCCACCGAGTCCCCCCAAGCCCAGGTTCCCAGCACCTGCCCTGTTCAGCTGCTGCAGGCATTGATGGGCGTGTTGCAGCCTCGAGATCCGGGCCCAGCTGGCTAGTGAGCCCTGTGCTGCAGGCTCTGGGGACGGTCCTTGGTGTGTCCCTACCCCTCCGGGGTCCCATGGATCACTGGAGAGCAGGAAGGACAGCCAGAGGGGGGTTAGGAGAGGACGCAGAGACCACAGCCTTGGGGAGGAGCAGGAGGGGCTTAGGTGTTGTAACAGCCCGTCGGGTGAGGCTCTGGAGAGACTGGGAGGGAGGGGCCCAGGGCACGAGTGGAGGAGGCCCCTCTGGGCCATGCCCCTGCCCCGGAGACCGAGGGCTTTTTAGGGCACGTGGTTTTTGACCACTGTTTTCCAGCTGAGGCCCAGTGAGGTGGCCTGTGGCGTTTCGGGGAGTCCCGAAGGAAGGTTCCGTGGGGACCGACGGAGGGGCGGAGCCTCAAGGAGCAGGGTAGCAGCTTCCAGGTCACCATGCCTCATCCACGGGGCTCCTGGGCACCACAAGCACTCCCTCAAGGGCAGCTGGGAGCAGGCAGCCCCCCCCCCCCCCACGCCACCCCTGCCTGTGTGAGAACGCCTTTCTTTAACCCGCACTCCACGTACGAGAAGTTCTCTCCCTTCGCCGACACGTTCAAGAAGCGCGTCAGCAAGAACACGTTCTTCGTGTTGGTGCGGGTCGTGGATGAACTCTGGTGAGTGCGTCTGCCCGGGAGGTGCCAGGAGGCAGGTGGGGAACCCTTAGGGCATCCCCGGGTGCCCCCCCAACCCCTGGCAGGGCCGCAGGCTTTCCTGAGGAGAAGGCGCCATCCATCCTATCAGTAACATTCCACCTGCTTCTCCCTCAAGAAAGAAGCTCCCGCCCACTTGAACGAGACCCCTGGGGAGAATGACCCACCCACCCAGACCCACCATGGGCCACGCCTCCTGGCCAGGCATCCCTCGCAAACAGGGAGTGTGGGCCTGGCCTGTGCCCTCAGCCACCAGCAGTAGTGGGGGGCCCTGTCTGCTATTCTCGGCCCCCCACGCCTCCCAACTCAGCACTCGCCATCACTATTCACTTAACAAGTACACATCTGGCCAGTCCCTTTCCTAGGCCTGCCTTCAGGATATTTCCCTGCTGCGGGAGGGTGGCCTTGGTCCGTGACTGCATAGCCTCGAGCCCCCCGTGCTCAGAAAGTACCGTGCGGGGAGGTTCTGGAGTGTCCTACAGGCGGCTGGTCTGAGGGGCTAGGACCGCTCAGTGACTGTCGCCAGGGTGGGACCAGGAGCTTCCTCTGGGGTGGGATTTACATGCGAATGTCTCCATAACCCAGGCACTCGTGCGGGCCTGGTGCTCGCTGCCACGTGACCCTTGGGTATCACGAGGTGGATCTGGGCCCGGCGGCAGCCCCTTCCTGTGTGAGTCCCTGTCCCTCACCGTGTGGCCTTGGCCCCCTAGCCTAGTGGAGCTGACGGAAGAGATCCTGAAGCTGCTGATGGAGCTGGTCTTTCGCTTGGTGTGCAGCGGGGAGCTGAGCCTGGCCCGTGTGCTCCGGAAGAACATCCTGGACAAGGTGGACCAGAAGAAGCTGCTCCGGTGTGCCAACTCTGACCAGCCCCTGGCAGCCAGGGGGGTGGCCGCCAGGTGAGCGAACGGCCCTGCCCTCTGCAGCTCCCTTCCTCTGCCGGGAGCTGCACCCGCCAGGGGCCTCTCCGTTCCATCGCCCTCCCCAGCGCCACAGCCTCCCGTCCTGGCTCGGCCCAGGCCCAGCACACAGCCTAGTGGGTTCCCAGGGGCTGGGCCTCTTCTCCAGGGTCATGATGTGTGATGTGTCCCCTTTTCCAGGAAGTGAGGAGCCAGGGCAGGGGGCCACCTAGTGGGACAGGAGATAGGCGAATGCATTCCAGGCTGTGGTCAGCTCTGGTCTCCTGGCACTAACGAGGCAGCTGTGAACTCTTGCCTGCCCCCCACCCCGCCGTCCTGAACATTCCTGAGAACCTGTGTGTGGTCTCCAGTCTGTAGCCTGTCCCCCAGGCATAGATGTTTGTTGATGTGTCACTTCCTGTTGGTGTTTCGGCCTTCAGCCCTGTGGCACCATCTCTGCTCCCGCCGGGCCCCAGCGACGGGGTCACCCACCTAGCAGCGGCACCAGGGACCCCGGCCTGAGTGCAGGGTCGTCTCGTCCTGCCACCAGTCAGCTCTATGGCCACCGTCCTCCTATGAGGCAAGGCTTGGGGCAGCTGCTCCCTCTGGGCCCCGGCGCTGAGGCTGCACTGGGTGCCACCCCACTCCTGCTGTCCTGACTGCTCATCTTGTGCCTCCGTCTTCTAGGCCCGGGACGCTACATGACTTCCACAGCCACGAGATAGCCGAGCAGCTGACTCTGCTGGACGCCGAGCTCTTTTATAAGATAGAGGTATGGCCTTGAGTGGGGCTGGGGACCAGGGATAAGACTGGCCCTGGGCGAGCAGCTACTGCTTGTCCCTAAACAGGAGAAACCCCTCATCCTGGGGAAGCCAGAGGGCTCCCGTGCCATCTAGTCCACTTCCTTTTTCAGATTCCTGAGGTTTTGCTTTGGGCGAAAGAGCAGAATGAGGAGAAGAGCCCCAACTTGACCCAGTTCACAGAGCACTTCAACAACATGTCCTACTGGTAAGAAGGGGCTGCAGTGCGACACCCCCCCACTCCGCCCCGGTTCTCTGGGCAGCGCGTTCTCTGGGCAGCGCGTCTGAGCGGGTTCCCTCAGGCAGGGAGGAGGTGCCCCCTTCCTTCCTCCCAGCTCCTGCCGATGCCCGGGGCATTCACTGGGACCCACAGGCAGAGGGCAGGGCCAGGGCGGGTCTGGCATGGTGGAAGAGGCCGCCTGGAGGGCTGGTTGAGGAGGAGGCGGAGATGGGGGATTGATTAGTAACGTCTGCCATGGGAGGTGGCAGGAGGGTCCTGTTTGCCTTCCCACTGGTCGCTGCCAGGCGGCCTCAGGGCTGAGCCTCACCCGGCTTCTGCCTGAAAGAGAACAGCTAAGGAGGGTGTTCTGTTAAAACTTTAATTTAGCCCTGAATTCTTGAAACAGAATGAAGCCCAAAGGTGTGTTTACACTACAATACATAACAGAACTGTTAGCTTTTATAGATAAGACTCAAAGGTGCCCATGGCCTCTCCACGTCAGGTGGAGGACGGTGGGGGGGGGGGAAGCCACTCCCCCTGCCCGCCCCACGCTGGCCTTCCGCTTGCTGCTGAGGTTCTCAAGGTGGCCCGTGCTCATCAGAAACTCAGGCTCCAGGGCCTCCATCTGCCCGCACGGCTGCAGGTCCCCATCATGGCGTGTGGCCTCCCGCCTGTCCCTGGGATGCCGTGGGCTCCTTGAGAGCAGAGGCAGGCCCTCTGCTTGGCGCCTCAAAAGCCTTGGGCACGCGGGGCAGGCATCTGCATCCCTTCCACCAGGGCCACCGAGGGGTGTGGGAGGTGGCCGGTCAGCTCAGCGCTCTCTCCCTCTTTGGTTCACACAGGGTCCGCTCCATAATCATGTTACAAGAAAAAGCCCAGGACAGGGAGCGGCTGCTGTTGAAGTTCATCAAGATCATGAAGGTAACTGCGGGCGCCCCGCCCAGAGTCTGCTCCTCGGGGCCCCGGGCCTGCCTCACGGCCTCCCCTCCCCCCGCAGCACCTACGGAAGCTGAACAACTTTAACTCCTACCTGGCCATCCTCTCGGCACTGGACTCGGCTCCCATCCGCAGGCTGGAGTGGCAGAAGCAGACCTCGGAGGTGAGTGGCTGGCGGGAGGGGGTCCACCTGGCCCCCGGGTTGTCCCCTCACGATGTCCTGCCCCTGGGTCCCAGCTTCACCTGTCCCTTCCTCCCGTGCTTCTGGAGGCACTGCTCTGGGCCGCGTTGGTCATTGCGGACATACTGTGAACAGGCTACACAGAGGGGATGGTTGCTTTAGGGCAGGGGGGCCACTCAGGTCATCTCAAGGGGTGACACAAAGGGATAGTTGTAAGACAGTGTCATATGGAGAAGTGTGGGACAGTCACAACGGCTACTCCAGGAGCGGTGGGGGGGGGGGTGTCCCGAGGAGGTGAAACATCGGAGAGGGGGGTGAGATTGGCAAGAGCCCCACACCACATGCAGGAAGGGCAGAGGCAGGCTCGGGCAGGACACAGGTCATGACGGGCTTCAGAAGCCCACCGGGGTCCCCCGGGCACTCAGCCGTGGCTCTGCAGCGGGCGGGGGGGGTGCTGGCGCCCCCGCCCTCACGCCCTGCCCCCTGCCCAGGGCCTGGCCGAGTACTGCACGCTGATTGACAGCTCGTCCTCCTTCCGTGCCTACCGGGCCGCCCTCTCCGAGGTGGAGCCCCCCTGCATCCCGTACCTGTGAGTAGAGCCCCGGCTCCCTCAGACCCTCCCTTAAAGGGTTCCCACCCAGACGGTTCTCCTTCTAACTTTAAAACTAGGGGCACCTGGGTGGCTCAGTCGGTTAAGCATCTGGCTCAGGCCATGATCTCATGGCTTGGAGTTCAAGCCCTGCGGCCGGGCTCTGTGCTGACAGCTCAGAACCTGGAGCCTGCTTCAGATTCTGTGTCTCCCTCTCTCTCTCAAAAAAAAAACCTTAAAAAAATTTGTTTTAATGAAAAGTTTAAAAAGTAAAACATGCTGCTTGTCACACAGTTTAAAGAGAAAGGAAGGGTCCAGCTCTCCCATCTCCCCATCCCACTTCTGTTTCCTTCCCTCATCCGCCAGCACTGGGACTTCTGTCTGCCCCGCCCTCACCCCAGGGAGGGGCCCTCAAACTTGGCCGCACGTTACAGTCAGCTGAGGGCCCTGAGAGCGCTCCGCGTAGAGAGGCTCAGAGAGGGTTTCCCCAGGAGTGAGCACAGAACAGACTAAATGGGGCTTCAGGGGAGAAGCATTCTCTGCTCACTGACGCTTAAGGAAATAGTGGAAGAAGTGAGAGGCTGGCCCAGTTTCTTTGTTAGCGGAGCCCTTAACAAGCTGGTAGACCTGGGGAAGCTCCGAGAGACAGAGGGGTACAAGATGGAGTGGGGCTGCCTTCAGGGCCCTCACACCCCCGGACATCCCTTCACCTTGCTTTCCCGCTGGGGGGCGTCATCTGCGGCCCATCACTCACCTTGGGGCTTCACGTCCCCTGTAGTTAGAAGCCCGTTACCTCCCTTGTTAACAAAACCCAGAACTCGGTAGGAGGAGAGGCCTGGAGATCGTCTCTTTGGTACGTTTTTCCTGCGCTGGCTTTGCGGGGACAGACGGCCACGTCCTGGCCCCGCTGGCTCAGGCGCGCGCACAGGCCGTGACGGGGCTTCTCCGCCCTCCCAGGGGCCTTATCCTCCAGGACCTCACCTTCGTCCACCTGGGAAACCCAGACTACATCGACGGGAAGGTGAACTTTTCCAAACGGTGGCAGCAGTTCAACATCCTGGACAGCATGCGGTGCTTCCAGCAGGCGTGAGTGCGGCCCCCCCCCCAAGCAGGGCGGGGGCGTGGCGGGCCAACGGCTGTGAGGCGCAGCACGGCCCGAGGCCTGCATGTCACTACAAGGAGGTTCCAGACCAGAGCAGTGGGGGGGGAGGTCTCCCTGGGGCCCACGCAGGTCCCCACGCCGCTCTGACTGGCGCCTCCCCCCGCAACCAGGCACTACGACATCCGGAGAAACGACGACATCATCAACTTCTTCAATGACTTCAGCGACCACCTGGCGGAGGAGGCCCTGTGGGAACTGTCTCTGAAGATCAAACCCAGGAACATCACGAGGAGGAAGACAGACCGGGAGGAGACCTAGAAGCGGTGCTGTGAGCGGGAGCGAGGAGAGCGCTGCCGAGAGGGGCCCCGAGGGCGGCCCCGAGACCGGGAGGGACTTTGGACCTGGCCCCGGGCAGGCTGCACGCGCCCTGGCCCAGCCGGCCCTGGCCCTCAGCCATCAAGGGCGGGAGCCCCGCGGGAGCGGAGCCAGCAGGCGGGTCTCGTTGCCGATTTGTGAACCCGTGGTTTGGTTTGGGTTTGGGTTTCTGCTTTCACTTCTGCATCCCCTCTTCCCCCACCGCCTGGGAGCAGTGTAGGGAGGTCAGCAGCCTGAGGAATGGTGGGCTCCGCACCCCTCCCTAGGTCCTAGGGTCCTGGAGCTGCTGAAATGACACATGAGCGGAAGACCCTCGCAAGGTGGGGGGCTGGGCTCCCGGTGACCTGGAATGAAGGGGACGTGCAGTTGGGTGGCCGGAAAGCAGAGAAGACCCGAGGAGGCTCCTTCCACTTTCCCTGCCCTGCTTTTTAAAATGCAAAACGGTGCGAGCTTCTGAGTTCCCAGCAGGTGGCCTTTCAGCAGCCCCAGAGCTGGCCCTCTGTCCCTTTGTCTCCCCTGGCACCTGGCCCCCCGGGGAGCTGGGCAGAGGGAGGACTTAGCTGTTATCGGGGCTGGGCCGGGAGCTCCCAGGTGAGTGAATCTGGAGAGCAGGGGGGTGCGACTGTCCTGGGGAAGGCCCGCGGCCCCCTCCTCTGTCGCTTGCTGTGTGCCTTAAACTCCACCTCCTGCCCCCTGTACCCCGTGGGCTCCCTTCCCACCTCCCTCCATCTGGTGGGGCCGGGGGTGCATCGAGACCCGTCTCCCAGTGCAGCAGGCTCCGTCCTGGGAAGGAGGGGATGTCCCTGAGGACCGGCACCTACCCGGGGCAGGCCAGCTGCCTCTGGGACAGCGTCTTCCCTGTTGGAAACCGCTCTCGCTGCTGAGGTTGACCGTCTGAGGCAGGTCTGCAGGGTGGTCTCCGCACGCAGAGGGGCCCGACTCCAGGCGGCTGCCCCCATGCCCCTCGCGGGGCGTCCTGGTTTGCGTGCCTGCGTGCTCGCTTCTCCTGGGCTTGGGACTTGGTCAAGCAAACAGCGGGATCTGACTTCAACAACCGGTCACTTTGAGTCCTTCGTGGGTTTTGAACAGCTCTCTTCGCGCTTGCGCGTGGTCCCGTGAGAAGAGGGGAGAACGGCTGTGAAAGGCCCGCGGCGCCCCAAGGGCAGCGATCGTGCCGAGGCAGGCAGAACGAGTCACTTTCTTCTGAAAAGGGTGTGGTCGCGGTTCAGCGGCAGTGCTGGGGGCGGGCTTGCCTCCCACTCGGAACCCCTCCCTGAGTCTTGTCTTGTCCCTTCCCATCGCACCTACCCCCGCCGGATGGGGTCTCCACCTCACACGGTCAGATGGGCGTCTGGGTCCCGGTCTGGCCCCAGCATGAGCTGCGGGGGGCTTTCCCCGCCCTCCCCTCTCCCCCCGGAGCCCTGGGCAGTCTGAGCAGACCTGCCAGGTGGACGGAGGCAGTGCGCTGGGGACAAGGGGCCACGGGTCAGGGTGACCAAGGGAGGGGCGCAGGGGCAGTGGGTATTTAACTTATTGGCCGACGGGTTCCTGCCCCGCGCCTCACTGAGACGCTCTCGGGGACGAGAGTCCACTCTCACCGCAGGTGGGGTCAGCGGAAGGGCAGGCACACGCCAGGTCGGAACGACCCCAGCCCTTCAGAAGCCTCTCCCCCTCCCCCCCCCACGTTCCATTGTAAGATATGTATGTTCCCCCACTAACCTGGCTGATAGCAGCATCTTCCTGCAGACATTTCAAACCTGTAACTTTTATATGAAAGACAAATAAACACCGATGAAAGCTGCGTCCCAGTGACCGAGCTGCCTCCTAGACAGGGCTTCCGGCACATTCCGTGTGCAGTTATACATCTCAGTCCGGGTGGTTTGGGCAGGGCGAGATAGAGGTCACCAGCCCTGGTCTGGAATTCTCCCTCCTAGGCCTTGTGCTTCAGAAGTGGATTAACCCACAAGCCCTGTACTGCCCCCAGCATCCTGGAAAAACTGAAGTTTCTAGAGTGGAATTCAGGGGGCGCCTTCTGCAAGGTTCCATCCGCCTACCACTCACAAGGCAGCACGCACAGGCTTGGAAACAGTCATGGGAGTTTCAGTCTTTTCTGTCTGAGGTGGGCGAGATCTCCTCCAATCCAGGGGAGCCGCTCGACTTCTTCCCTGCCTGCACGTCATCCCCTTCCCCATCCTGCCCACATCCCAGTGTCCGAGAGAGCGAGCAGGGAGCCCCAAGTCCTCCACTAGCCGACAGTACCAGGAACCAGCCTGGCCTGGCCCCAGACCCCCGCAGGTGACTGGGAGGTAACAGGCCAGGTGCGGATGTGGGCACTGACCCTGCCCACCAGAGCTGCAGGGCCTGGCCGCTACCACCCACCCTGGTTAAGTGCCTGGGAATCTGCACGTCCAACCCAGCAACTCAGGATCCTCAGATGACCCGAGAAGGACGCTTCCCTAGCTGCTCCCACACACCCTCCCTCCCCCCCCCATTCAGGCCTCAGACCCGTGCACAGGGCCGGTCTTCTGGGGGTGCGATGGCCTCACACTGTCCCTTCCGGTGGGCTTAGAGGCAGACCCCTCACATTCATTTAAAGCTTCATTCATTCATCAACTTGTTGTGTCCACTAGGGGTCATCATTTAGGAAAAGGGGTCCCTGGCCCGGCAGGGTCTGTGTTATTCTAGTCCTGCATTTGCTGGGAACACGCCAGAGGAGCCTCACCCCCGGCTCCCGTCTCGGTCCCCCAGCCGGCAGGGCGGGTATCAGCGTCTTCCACCTCACAGGGTCTGGGAGCGCCCAGCGAGTCAGCACCTGGAGCAGGCCTGACAGACTGCCACCTCTGTCATCACGTCCACGCGGAGACCATGCAGACCCCTGTGGCCTGTCCTCCTCAGAATCCCTACAGGCAAACTAGTAGAGCCGTGGTAAATGCCACAAAGAGGCTCTTGACATTAAAGAAACAGTCTGCTTTGAAATCCACTCACAGACGTCAGGTCCAGACAGGCCTAGCAGGTGACTCGTGCCAAACAAGCAGCTTCAGGCTTACGTGCTCACCTCCAAGGACAGGAGGGGACACCTCCCAACCCGTTACCCAAGACAACAGTCCAAAAAACCTACAGCCAGCACTTGTAAAATAATCTCAGCACCCCCAAACCAAGAGCATGTAAAACTCCGCACTCTCCCTCAGATGCAAGGGTGGGATGTCCGTAAGCCGGTCAATGGACTAGACCTCACGCGCCAGACACCTCGTTCCAGTGTCCCCATACGGCCACCTCTCCTTCCCAGCCCTGTGCAGGTAGGCACCTGAGAGCCAGACACGCATCACCGTGGGCAGGGCACGGCGGGTGAGACACCCTTAGGCTCCAGGCGTGGAGGAGGTAGAGTTCCACGTTGTCTGGTTGCAGGTGAACCAGACCACGACCTCGACAGTCCCCACCAGACTGGACGTGAGTAAGAAATGAACTTGCGCTAAGCTGCTGAGACTTTAGGGTTTGTAAATCCTCACAACACAGCTGCGCTGGCCCAACGAACCCTCCTCACAGAGGAAGGACACCACGGCATCCCCTCAGTCATGAGAACGGCCTCTGTTAGGAAGGCAACACCCCTAATTTGTTTAAAACTCTTAGAAATCAAAAACTTCCTTAATTTGATAAAAGTTACCTTCCAAAATCCCACGCACACGTCATACTTCACGTTGAGATATTCAGAGCATCTCCTTTAAAACCGAAACAAGGTAAGGATTCTGCAGTCATGCTGTGCACTCACTGTCGCACTGGAGAGCCTAGTCACTGCTGCAGGAAAAGAAAAATAACAAGGGATTACTAAGAAAATCTACCAGGCTGCCTGGCTGGCTCCGTCACTAGCGCGTGTGACTCTTCACCTCAGGATCATGAGTTCAAGCCCCACACTGGACACAGAGCCTACTTAAAAAAAAAAATCTACCAAGGTAGTTAGCTGTACAGTCAGATTAAAAATTGAATATGTTCCGGGGCGCCTGGGTGGCTTAGTCGGTTGAGCGTCCGACTTTCGCTTAGGTCATGATCTCGCGGTTCGTGGGTTCGGGCCCCGCGTCGGGCTCTGTGCTGACTGCCAGCTCGGAGCCTGGACCCTGTTTCAGTCTGTGACTCCCTCTCTCTCTGACCCTCCCCTGCTCACGCTGTCTCTCTCTCTCCTAGAAATAAATAAAAAAAAAAAAACATTAAAAAAAAAATTGAATATGTTCCTATATACAGTCAACAATTAAACAGTTCTTAAAAGATCCCATTTATGCTACTATCACAAGCCTTTAAGGTACTAGGAATAAACCCAACGACAGATGAGAGAACCTTTTATCCTCCAAAAAAGAGGCTCTAACAATATCTATGTACCCAACAAAGGACACCGAAATATAAAGCAAGTATTAACAGACTTAAGAGGGGGAAGGGACAGCAGAAGAATAGAGGACTTAAATGCCCCACTCATCTCAGTGGACAAATCATCCATATAGAAAATCAGTAAGGGGCCATCAGCCTTAAAGGACACATTAGACCAGATGGACTCAAGCCAACATTCCATCCAAAAGCAACAGAAGACACAATTTCGAGCACACAAGGAAGCAACATACCTGTTACGCCACAAAACAAGCCTTAATAAATATAAGACTGAAATCCTATCAAGCGTCTTTTCTCACCAGAATTGTACGAAATGAGAAATCAGTTACAAAAAGAAAACTAGAAATGTTCTGTGGAGGGTAAACAACATGCTACTAAGCAACTAACTGGGTCAAAGGAGAAATCCAAAAACACCTTGAAGAAGCGAACAGGCAAATACAACATGCCTAACGTGTGGGGTGCGGTTCTGAGAGGGAAGGTGACAGGAAGAAACTAAAACATCCTGACTTTACCATCGAGGAACTAGAAAAAAGAACAAATGAGCCCCAAAGTTAGGAGACGGAAGGAAATAAAGATCAGAAATACATAAAATAGGGGCGCCTGGGTGGCTCAGTCAGTTAAGCCTCTGACTTGGGCTCAGGTCATGATCTCACAGCTCATGGGTTCGAGCTCCGCATCAGGCTCTGCGCTGAAAGCTCAGAGCCTGGAGCCTGCTTCGGATTCTGTCTCTCCCTCTCTCCCTCTCTCAAAATAAATACCCATTAAAAAAATTTTTTTAGATGTTTAAAAAAATACATACATAAAAAAGACACTAAAATGATAATAGGAAAGATGAGTGAAACTAAGAGCTGGTTCTTTGAAAAGATGAACAAAATAGACTCCCGAACAGAGTAGGCAGTCAAATGAAAATGATGTTACAGCTAAAAAAAACGGCAGGGAGGCACCTGGCTGGCCCAGTCGGTAGAGCATGTGACTCTTGATCTCCGGGTCATGAGTTCAAGCCCCACACTGGGTGTATAGCTTGCTTAAAAATTGATGTTACAGCTGATACCACAGAAACACAAAGGATCATAAAGAGACAACTATAAACAACTATATGCCAACAATTTGACAACCTAGAAGAGGTGAATAAATTCCTAGAAATATACAACCTACCAAGGCAGAATCATGAAGGTACAGAAACAGGGGCACCTGGGTGGCTCAGTCAGTTAGGTGTCGGACTCTTGATTTCAGGTCAGGTCATGATCTCACGATTTATGGGATCAAGCCACACGTCAGGCTCCACGCTAACAGCGTGGAGCCTATGTGGGATTTTCTCCCTCTCTCTGTGCCCCACCCCACTTGTGCTCTCTTGCTCTCTTTCAAAATAAACTTTAAATAGAAAAAAATCTTTTATTTTTTTAATGTTTTTTATTTGTTTTTGAGACAGAGAGAGACAGAGCATGAGCGGGGGAGGGTCAGAGACAGACAGACAGACAGACACAGAATCCGAAGCAGGCTCTAGGCTCTGAGCTGTCAGCACAGAGCCCATTGCAGGGCTCGAACCCACAAACTGAGATCATGACCTGAGTCGAAGTCGGACGCTTTACCAACTGAGCCACCCAGGTGCCCCAAGGGAAAAAAAAATCTTAACAGACCAATTACTAGTAAAGTCAGTCCATTCATCAAAAACCTCCCAACAGGCACACCTGGATGTCAGTTAAGTGTCTTGACTCCTGATCTTGATCTCAGCTCAGGTCATGATCTCACAGTCCAAGAGTTTGAGCCCCATGTCAGGTTCTGTGCTGACAGTGCAGACCCTGCTTGGGATTCTCTCTCTTTCTCTAGACCCCCCCCCCACCTCTCCCCCACTCGCACGCACACGTGCTCTCTCGCTCTCAAAATAAACTTAAAAAAAAAAAAAAGAAAGAAAAACCTCCCAACTAACAAAAGCCCAGAACCAGACAGCTTCACTGGTGAATTCCATATAACATTCAAAATATGAACACCAATTCATCTCAAATACCTCCAAAAAAATGGAAGAGGAGGGAATACTCCCACACTCCTTTTGTGAGGCCAGCCTTCCCTGATACCAAAACCAGTCAAGGATGCCACAAGAAAATCACAGGCCAATGGCCCTGATCCACACAGATGCAAACATCCTCAACAGAATGTCAGCAAACCAAAGTCACCAATACCTTAAAAGGATCATGCACCATGACCCAAGTGGGATGGGATTCCAAGGATGGTTCAGCATATACACAAAATCAGTAGGATACACTCACTACATTAACAAAATAAAGGGAAGAAGTCATAAAATCATCTCAGTAGATGCAGAAAAAGGTTCTGGCAAAAGGCAACATCCATTTATGATGTTTTTAAAAACCTCAACAAAAGTGGGTACAGAGGGAACACACCTTAACGTAATCAAGGCCACCATATACGACAAGC